GTACAAAAATAATGTTACTTTTGCATGACTATTCTCATGAAGATTCCGAATTTAGCAAAAGAGAAAATTTTAATGAGAATTCTGGATTTTGGTTCATATATGGCGTGCTTATGAGAATCCCCTATTTTGTGTCTCATAAGCACGCCATATGTGTTCCAAAATCTAGAATTTTCATGAGCACGTTCAAATATGTACAAAAATAATGTTATTTTGGCACGACTATTCTTATGACGATTCTGAATTTTGCTAAAGAGAAAACTTTTCAAGAGAATTCTGGCTTTTGGTACCCATATGGCGTGCTTATGAGAATCCCCTATTTTGTGTCTCATAAGCACGCCATGTATGTACCAAATGTAGAATTCTCATAAGCACATTCAAATATGTACAAAAATAATATTACTTTTGCATGACTATTCTCATGAGGATTCTGTATTTTGCAAAAAAGAAAATTTTCATGAGAATTCTGGATTTTGGTACCTACATGGCGTGCTTATGAGAATCCCCTATTTTGTGTCTCATAAGCACGCCATGTATGTACCAAAATCTAGAATTCTCATGACCACATTCAAATTTGTACAAAAATAATGTTACTTTTGCATGACTATTCTCATGAAGATTCCGAATTTAGCAAAAGAGAAAATTTTAATGAGAATTCTGGATTTTGGTTCATATATGGCGTGCTTATGAGAATCCCCTATTTTGTGTCTCATAAGCACGCCATATGTGTTCCAAAATCTAGAATTCTCATGACCACATTCAAATTTGTACAAAATTAATGTTACTTTCGCATGACTATTCTCATGAAGATTCCGAATTTTGCAATTAAAAGAGAAAATTTTAATGAGAATTCTGGATTTTGGTTCATATATGGCGTGCTTATGAGAATCCCGTATTTTGTGTCTCATAAGCACGCCATATGTGTTCCAAAATCTAGAATTCTCATGAGCACGTTCAAATATGTACAAAAATAATATTACTTTTGCATGACTATTCTCATGAGGATTCTGAATTTTGCAAAAAAGAAAATTTTCATGAGAATTCTGGATTTTGGTACCTATATGGCGTGCTTATGAGAAACCCCTATTTTGGTGTCTCATAAGCACGCCATGTATGTACCAAAATCTAGAATTCTCATGACCACATTCAAATTTGTACAAAATTAATGTTACTTTCGCATGACTATTCTCATGAAGATTCCGAATTTTGCAATTAAAAGAGAAAATTTTAATGAGAATTCTGGATTTTGGTTCATATATGGCGTGCTTATGAGAATCCCGTATTTTGTGTCTCATAAGCACGCCATATGTGTTCCAAAATCTAGAATTCTCATGAGCACATTCAAATATGTACAAAAATAATATTACTTTTGCATGACTATTCTCATGAAGATTCCGAATTTTGCAAAAGAGAAAATTTTAATGAGAATTCTGGATTTTGGTACCTATATGGCGTGCTTATGAGAATCCCCTATTTTGGTGTCTCATAAGCACGCCATGTATGTACCAAAATCTAGAATTCTCATGACCACATTCAAATTTGTACAAAAATAATGTTACTTTTGCATGACTATTCTCATGAAGATTCTGAATTTTGCAAAAGAGAAAATTTTAATGAGAATTCTGGATTTTGGTTCATATATGGCGTGCTTATGAGAATCCCCTATTTTGTGTCTCATAAGCACGCCATATTTGTACCAAAATTTAGAATTCTCATAAGCACTTTCAAATATGAACAAAAGTAATGTTACTAAGGCTAAAAAATATATCATATTTCAGTATACTTTTTAGCCACGGCGGTCTGTGGCTAAAAATTATATCAGATTACACTATACTTTTAGCCACGGCGGTATATGGCTAAAAAGTATACCTGATTTCAGTATACTTTTTAGCCACGGCGGTCTGTGGCTGAAAAGTATATCAGATTACACTATACTTTTCGCCACGGCGGTCTGTGGCTAAAAAATATATCAGATTACACTATACTTTTTAGCCACGGCGGTCTGTGGCTAAAAATTATACTCAGATTACACTATACTTCTAGCCACGGCGGTCTGTGGCTAAAAAGTATACCTGATTTCAGTATACTTTTTAGCCACGGCGGTCTGTGGCTAAAAATTATACCAGATTACACTATAATTTTTAGCCACGGCGGTCTGTGGCTAAAAAGTATACCTGATTTCAGTATACTTTTTAGCCACGGCGGTCTGTGGCTAAAAATTATATCAGATTACACTATACTTCTAGCCACGGCGGTCTGTGGCTAAAAATTATACCTGATTTCAGTATACTTTTTAGCCACGGCGGTCTGTGGCTAAAAATTATACCAGATTACACTATAATTTTTAGCCACGGCGGTCTGTGGCTAAAAAGTATACCTGATTTCAGTATACTTTTTAGCCACGGCGGTCTGTGGCTAAAAAATATATCATATTTCACTATACTTTTTAGCCACGGCGGTCTGTGGCTAAAAATTATATCAGATTACACTATACTTTTAGCCACGGCGGTCTGTGGCTAAAAATTATACTAGATTACACTATAATTTTTAGCCACGGCGGTCTGTGGCTAAAAAGTATACCTGATTTCAGTATACTTTTTAGCCACGGCGGTCTGTGGCTAAAAATTATACCAGATTACACTATAATTTTTAGCCACGGCGGTCTGCGGCTAAAAAGTATACCTGATTTCAGTATACTTTTTAGCCACGGCGGTCTGTGGCTAAAAATTATATCAGATTACACTATACTTTTAGCCACGGCGGTATATGGCTAAAAAGTATACCTGATTTCAGTATACTTTTTAGCCACGGCGGTCTGTGGCTAAAAAATATATCATATTTCACTATACTTTTTAGCCACGGCGGTCTGTGGCTAAAAAGTATACCTGATTTCAGTATACTTTTTAGCCACGGCGGTCTGTGGCTAAAAAATATATCATATTTCACTATATTTTTTAGCCACAGACCGCCGTGGCTAAAAATTATACCAGATTACACTATAATTTTTAGCCACGGCGGTCTGTGGCTAAAAAGTATACCTGATTTCAGTATACTTTTTAGCCACGGCGGTCTGTGGCTAAAAAATATATCATATATCACTATACTTTTTAGCCACGGCTGTCTGTGGCTAAAAATTATATCAGATTACACTATACTTTTAGCCACGGCGGTCTGTGGCTAAAAAGTATACCTGATTTCAGTATACTTTTTAGCCACGGCGGTCTGTGGCTAAAAATTATACCAGATTACACTATAATTATTAGCCACGGCGGTCTGCGGCTAAAAAGTATACCTGATTTCAGTATACTTTTTAGCCACGCTTGGCATAAAATGTTGCGAAATCGGCCAAACTGCCGATCATGAAGTTCAGCGGTCTTGCCCATGAGCATAGAAAAAATTCAAGATGGCGGCGATTAGGAGTGAATTGCAAAATCTGTTAGGGCGAATTTTTCA